GCTTGAAATAAAATCCTTCACCCCCCTGGTTTTTGCAAAAATTTTGGTCATAATTTTCGAGTTTCGACCGAAAATTTTGATATTTTCGCAGTCGAGGAAAAAGTGTGTTAGTTTTAAGTTTTTAGTCTGCTTGTAGATGAAACAATTCACTCGAAGGATTATTATATTTCTTGTTTTCAGGTAAGATTCACGAAAGTTTTATTTCTTTTACTTTTTTTAAATTCTAGGTTGCCAAAGCTTGGGCTGCTTGGCAAATATTTTAACTTGCCATTTCGATGGAAAAGGTAAAAAACTACCGTTATAAACAGCAAATGTATAATATTTCTAGTTTCAACAATATCACAGCAGTTTTGTAATTCAGTTATCCTCTTTTTTCTTGTTCTTTATGTTCAAACTCATTGACATTCTCATATTAATTTTGTCTCATATCTTGGGTTCAAAATCCTTTTCTCGACTTGTTTTGTTTTATATTACTTTGAAATAATGAAATTTGTGATTGGTTTTAACTTTTAACTGCTAACTACCAGGTTTTTGTAGCAGTATTTACTTAGGATGCATGTCCACAACCTACCTTTTCAGTATAGCCTGCCAGTTGCCACTCTGGCACTTTCAAAAAATTCAGCATTTAAACCTTTAATTAAGTGATTAATTAAGGGGCACTGTGCCCTACTTTGTTATCTTGCTCTGTTGCTCAGTCCAATGCTAGATAATTTTATTTGTTAAAGAGGAAAGTGCTGGTGCACTCAATTGCTTAATAATTTTAAGTCCACATTAAACATCATTTTTATTATTTGGATCACCCCTCTACATTGTCACAGCTGTAACCTGTTTTGTAGCACAGGCTGTGGGAGTCTGAATCTTTTCTGTAATTCATGTAATGACCCAATATAGTTCAAGTGCTCTCACAAATCCAATGGAATTTGCCTATCCTGAGGCTGATGCTCAAGCATGAACAAGAAAAATACAAATAAGGTGTTTGAATGCAAGGGCTGTTGCAGAAATAACTTTATTTGATCATTTCCATTTCACAATAACATGTTTATTATATACAAAGAATGTCAAAGACCATATTCTTCACACTGAACATCTATATTTACATAATTATATTGCAGTGTAAGGATGTATCTTAATGTAATGTTACATTCTGATATTCTGTCATTAATTTTGCAGGTAAAATCATTCACAGGTACCACAAGACATATCACAATGGATCAAAATGCTGAACAGCCAAAGCAAAATCATACCCATCTGGCTACAAAGTCACAATAATAACTTGTCTGGATAGTTTTACCACTGCTAACAAAATTAATTCTTTCTAATAATTGATAATTCTTTAATAAAGAGGTTGAACTATATGAACTGTATCACCATCAAATAATTCTGCAATTAGACCAAAAAGAGATTATATAATTAAAATGTTATAAATTAAAGTTTTCACTACAGACAAAAGAAGTGAAGAAAGGAAATGAGAATTAAAACAGCTTAAGCCACCACACTATTAAAGGCTAAAATGTATCATGCATGCAACTACCTGAAATGTTGAAGTTCATTGATTTAGTTAGTTTCAGGTAGTTGCATCTGATACAGGGGTGCACAGAGAGAGGACTGAAATGAACAAAACCCCAAATAAATTCACCTGCATGGACTGGAAGTGACATTATCTACCAATTAAATTGTTTCTGACTTGATGTCTGACTAGCATGTGTGACTTTCTCAGTTCTGGCCTGTATAATGAGATCCAGTGCAACCCTATAAAGCCTATAATCTAGATACTTTGCTTATACCTACACTTGTGATTGGTAACCAACATTCAAGAAGTACAATCCTATTTCTAGTGGCTCAAGAATCTTCAATTCAACATGTCATTAGTCAGAAATCTAGGTAGAAATCATATTACCAGATAAGCTGCCCACAGTATCCTGAGGCCCTAGGCTATTTTCTACTGGCACCCTAGATTATGCATACTATAATAACCACAGACTCTAGTATATATAAACGCAAAGAATATAGATAGAAGCACATTGTTTCATGCCTTTACACCTGTATATACACTTACTTAGCACATACAATTGCATAAAATCAAGCATGTCAGACATCAGTCTATATAGAAAACCCAGAGGATTTGAGGGAAAAACCGATTTAACTGAATTAAATAAAACAAAATTTGTTTAACAAAAACCATGGCCAGCCAACAATTTAACAAAGCTAGTAAAGTAAAAAAACAAACAAACAAAAACTTTGAACATATAAAAAACAAAGTTTCTGTATTTTTTACAACAAGACTTTGAATACACGGGGGAAAATAATACGTTATACTCTACAAAGAGCCTGTTATGTAATGGATTATATTCTATCATTTACTCCCATTATCTTTTAAAAATTAAAAATAAAAGCATATCAATAGTATGTGAAATATTTACCTGTTAGGTCTGCCATCAAATATCGCCTTTGCCTAAATTTCTCGGGGTTTTCATATTGATTTGTTGTCTTTCGCGGGCAAGAATACCGTGCACGACTTTTAAATCTTTGAACAAATGGTCAAAAGTCGAAAAAATATTAAAAAAACAAAGAGATTTTACTGAAAAAACCTCGAAAAGCAAAAATTTTTTTGATAAAACCAGGGGGGTGTGAAAATTGTAGGGGGCGCAGAATTGAGCCTGGTCAGCGGTAATTCCATGAGCCGGAGGAACCAGTTGTCATGGAAATGGCGTCATATAGCGCGAAAATCCGCCATGTTTTTGCGGACACTTTTTTTGCCGAGCACTTCCTCCAGTAATATAGTATAGCTCAGTGGGTTATCCTCTGTCCAACGTTTTTAGTCCAGGATAAAATGTTTCGGAAATTCCTTAAAAAAATCCTCAAAAACCTAAATTCCTTAAAAAAATCCTTAAAAGTCTTCAAAATTCCTATTTTTAAGGATAATTCCTTAAAAGTGAGAGCACTGGGAAGAGCAACGATAGTAGTCATACCTTGTCATACCGTCATACCACAGATGAGGTAATATCATTACTTACCTCATCTGTGGTCATACCGTAGACCGTAGTAACACAAAGTTGAAATTCGAAGACTATTTAAACTGAAAGGAACAAAGGATTGCTATTTTGCGGAACAAAGACGAGTAGGAAACTTCCCAGAAGGTAAGCAAAAGGTTAAAGATTATATATAAGACGGTATTTATCTTGAAAGTCTGTTAACTATAGCGATTTAAACTAAATTTCCGCGATCGGCGAGGTGCATAATTATTTTAAAAATGTGTTTGTTGTATATTCGGTATTCCCTAGTGACTCGTGTCATTGAGTCAGCTTTTGTCTTTATAAAGTAAATAAAACTTTCGAATACCTTTAGTATTCTGAGACTACTAAATAATGTTTAGTATACGCAATTTATTTGGAATCAAAACTAGATTTGTTTGAGCCCAGCCTTCTGTGCTTGGATTTTGTCTTCTATGTGACAGGACTCTGTGTCAGTGTGTTTTTCTTGTGCTTAACAATTTTTTGAGACGTTTGCCAATTGTGCCCATACGGCCAGGAATTTTATTCTTGATTTGAGATATCAATATTAATCTAAATGGCCTACTGTAAACTTCCAACAAATCAGTTTAAACCAGATTAAACCTCCCACCAATCCTGACTGCCTTGTCATGTCCTGTATACTGCGGGATCCGATTCAGTTAGCTAGACCGTTAAATGCGAATAGTTGTCGTGTAGTTTTAATGTACAAAGACGTTTCTAGGCAGATTTCAGATGTTTCTAAGGTGTGTCTTCAATGTTTATTTTCAAAATTGTTTGAAAATAAACATTGAAGCCACACCTTACAAACGTCTGAAATCTGCCTAGAAACGTCATCGTACAACCGTTAAATTACAATGTTTAAATCTTGAAAATAAACATTGAAGCCATGCCTTAGTAACATCTGAAATCTGCCTAGAAACGTCATTGTACAACCGTTAAAACTATAACGCAACAACTATTCATATTCAACAACTATTCATATTCTACTAACTCTTGACGAAGGGCCGAGTTTCTGCTTATTTTTTAAGGTAGTAAATAGTAATATAACCACTCAGCACAGCATTTTCATATTTAACGGTCTACCTGAATCCGCAGTAATATTCTATAGGAAAATATGGATTGTAGATTTCTCGATTCTCACACAGGTGTTGGATCACAGGTCCTGACACAACCATAGGAATCTTGTTTTGCTACTGAGGTGATATAAATATCTGTATCACAAGTCTTTTCTAAACTGTTTTAATTTTGTAAGGTTAGGATTGCATGGCCATATAACACCTGTATTCTAATTATTTTCTCGTACTCAAAAGAGTTGAGGTTCTATCTGAGCTTCCCTTGAGAGTTGAGTGCAGGGGCATAGCGTGCAGGGGGGGGGGTGACACCCCCAGTTTTAGTGAGGTAACTAGTCGGTAAAATGCCAAAAGTTACTCGGTAATGGCAAATCGGTTAAAGTGGAATTTTGCTTCTCGGTAAATGGCTTTTAATAATCAGTAAAATTAAATGAGTGTTGTGCCTTGTTCTCCAATAAAGTTATGCAAAATTTACATAATTCTTCAGTAATCACTTATGTTAAATATCTACGCCTAAGCATTGCAGCCCCTAATTTTCTATGAATCGTATTACACTTGCAAGAGCTGCGAAAACAGTCGATTCTAATTGGACATGTTCAACTGTGCGCGAACTTTTGACCTTGATACAATGATATGCCAGAGAATTAAAGATTATATTTATATATTTATTATTGACATGCGGTGCTCATAAAATGTTTCGCCAATTTTTCAAGTCTGTTTATTACAATAAACAACAAGATAAATGTCATTGAGTAACATGACTTATCGTGAAGTAACTAACTTTAAGACAACAATTGTTCCAAATGAATTAATAAAGTGTTTGCTGCGTTTCTGGTTTTACGTTACTTCTAGACGGCAGACTAAAGTCATTGTAAGTGTCATTAACCCATTAAGAGTCAGCGCTCTCCCCTTGACGAGTAAAATTGTCTGGCATTAGACAGAGTAAAATACTAAAGTAGGGTGCATCAGGGTGCAATGCGACTCAATGGGTTAACTAGACACATGGGCAGATAGGCCAGTTAACCCATTAAGCGCCAGCGTTCTCCCCTTAATGAGTAAAATCATCTGGCGTTAGACAGACTAAAATACTAAAGTAGGGTGCATCAGGGTGCAATGCGACTCAATGGGTTAAATTAAACATGCGCCGAAATATTTGTTTGTCAATTGCTGCATAGCTGTTATGGTATATGTTATGTAGCATATAAGGGGAGGAGCTCACACTCACAGCTTGTTAATATCTCACAGATTTCGAAAATAACACAACTGGTTCTTAAATATGTTGGCATTGTTGCACATTTTAACTATTAAGAGTAACATCAGTAAGTTCATTTGCATCTAATTACATAAAACTTTCTCCTTCTGAAATACATAATCAAAACATCGCTACATGCAAACTCATGGGTATTCAACAAATAACAATATGGTTTTGTTTGTTTAATATATATAAATAAAAGCTACCAAAACTTGTGTGTATAAGGTATAGAAGAATCTGAAAATGCCATTTCCAATGATCTAGAGACTCCATATTTTCAAAAATTTTCCGCTCGCCACCAACCATGGTGGCGCCCGTGGCGTGGGTCCCCCAAAACAAAATCTCACACATATTTTTTGCCAAAGTTGGCAACTATGGGATAATGCATGGAGCATGTACTGATCCACGACAATGCTCACATTTAGTCTTTTTATTCTTAATAGACCTTACAGATTATTCTCTTTTACACAACATCATTTGCCATCGTTTCCATGTTAACTTATTTTAAAAGCATGTCAGGGGCAGATAAAGATTGTATTTCCATGTTTTCCTGGACGAATTTGTTTCTTGCTGTTCTTAGGCTCAATAACAAACTAAGTAGTTTTCAACCCTACTAAGCACAAAACATGAGTCAGTAGTTGACATTGAAAACGAGGCCATTGGATAAAACAGATTCTTTGGTCGTGGTCGTCGGTAAAACTTAGATGTTACACCCCCAGTTAAAAAGTTCACGCTACGCCCCTGGTTGAGTGCCAGTGCTGTTTTGAATATTTAGAGGTTTCGTGCTGTACCATGCTATGTGAGTACTCACCAAGCTATTCAAAAACATTGACACTCAAGGAAAGCTCAAAATTGAATTGCATGGAATGTGAGTGAGCCTTTAGAATAGTCAGGAATTAGTGTTGGGATTGGGGCTGGTGTTTTTTTAATGTCATCACAGTAATTTGTAGCACAAAACATTCCAGCCTTAAATATAGCCAACCCACTGGCAAGGCTTGGTTAGCCCCCATGAAGGCAAAGACTGTGGGGATTCCATTATTCCAATCTCGTATTTGGGGCGACAATTTAGTGGTCAAGGTGTTGCCTTCTTGTAATCGTCCATTATGTTCCAGAACTGAGTCACTGAGATGGGTTTTGCAGGTTTCAATTGACTAGTACATTATATGGCATAGTATATTGCGTAGATTTACATTGTTTGTTTTTTTATAATAAAACCTTAAACATTATTTGCATCGATCTTCATGTGAATCCTTTCTCCAACCTACAGTTAGTTAATTTTCAGTTTAACTGAAAGACAGCATTTACTTGATAAGAACATGTTGATTTTGAGTGGTCATAAAAATTCTGAAAATCATGTGGATCTGCATACTGGTAGGTGAATTGGACCACTGATTATGAATGTTGTGGTATTGAGAGCTTCAAAAATTACTTAACAACATGGTAGGGTGTTTGTAGGGCATTACCAAAACGTTTTAACTAATTGAATAGTACCTCCTATAGTTTAAAGAGACTGCTCAAACTGGTACTCTATTCTACCTTAACCCATTGAGTGGTGTGGTCTCCCCCTGGAGAGTAAAATTGTGTGGCGTTAGACAGAGTAAAACAATACCAAATACCCTAATCCTGAAGTTTCAAGTAGTTGCTCAACTCAAAGCCGGTTTTGTCTTGTGATTTTTCGGGTGGAACTAGTTAGAAAAGACAAAGAAAGATTCTGCTCCGCACACAAAATTCTGCCTCATGGATAACCGGCTCAAGGGCAGTGTGTTGGTGTGCAGGTTTACCAGTGCCATTGATTCTGTTTTATACTACATATCATTCTTCAAGCTAAAACAAATTTAATTGTGATTTTGAAATATATTATACATAGATTGATAGGAAGTATAATAAAACCACACTAAGAAAATACTAGTACATACAAGTAAGGTGTTGCCGACTCTTTAAGCAATAAGTGTCAAGTTCAGGTTTGTGCTTGGCTCTTTGACGTTAGAAATTCGCGTTTGTATGCCTACGCATGCCTTTAGTCATTCAAGCGTGAAATTTATAATTTAAAACCAAATGACAACTTCGAACCTCAAGTTTTCAGGAGAAAGCGAATGGTAATTAAACTTCAGTTGGTTAATTGATTAATGGGCAATTTAGTAAATTACATGAATATTTGGTATGTTTGAAAATTTGTGTAAAAGCTGCATGGTGAATGACAACAGCAAAAACCTCAATTGAAACTTTCACAGCGGTTAGCAGTTCGCTGTTAACGTCAGTCTTAAGGTCATATGTCTACATGGCCTCATCACAGATGATAGATTATACCAGATGAATCACTGTGTATCTATGATCTATCCCTATGATTTTCGTGTCCGCGATTTTCGCGAGGCTGTCACGCCAGATGACGCGTGCGACACTTACTGCCAAAATGGCGCTTACTGCCAAAATCTTACCAAAATGCGTGAATGCTCACGTTTCATGGCGTGGATTACACTTGCTGCCAAAATGGCGGCCAACGCGTGTTCATAAAAAATCGCGGACACAATTTTGGTTGAGTGATTCATCTGGTATTATCTATCATCTGTGGCCTCATCTTGAAAATGACAATAAACGTCGCTTACGTCAATTAAAAAAAAAACTTCGTTGTCTCGAGCGTTTAAGTGGCTGTCTCACTAAGAACCATGCAGAGCGTTTCAAGTTGAAAATTAGATTTCCTTTATATTTTTACCATGAACTACCTTTGTCCTAAAAGGTATTAAACTAAGATTAGAATTTCTAAATTTTTCTTTTTTTTTTAGTTATGACGAATTTTTGTCTAGACGTCAGCGACTCTGAAATTTGACCCAGAAAACGGCGGTCAATTGTGTGTTAAATTGTGCAACATAACTCGGAAAGTTTCGCGTCAAATTAAAAACTTTTTTCAGCGTATTGAGACATATTCTTCTTCTTTTAGAATGATGAAAGTATTTCAATGTACATCTTATTTTAAGCCTACTACTCTCCATTCAAGGAAGTCGGTATTTTCGTTCGCCGAACAACTAATGATTAGGTACAAAATTCAAACTAAAAATTCTCAAAAGTGCAACCTACTTGGTGTCTAAACCACTTTTAGGGTTAAAGTAGAATACTTGAAGTTATGTTATTCGCAATAAAACTTGTCGGCAAAAGGAATATGAAGGAGTGCAAGATTCATAAATTATGGCTATAAATAGCTCTATTGTTTACCTTTGTGATAACCGGAAACACGTTCAGTGTTGCTCGCGGAGCTTTTATAGCGACTAATATATTGCACAATATCATTGTATTTAACTCAGAAAAGTTTAATTCGATCGATGAAATGCGACGGATCGATCTTTGAGGTCTAAAACGGTTAGAAGAAATAAATTCGTCTAGGACGTTGTAGCCTTATCCTCATGACCGGACAAGTAGAATGTCAATGTTAAAAATGTATCGGTTGCCGTAACGTCGCATCGAATTAATAAATCCATGAACTTGTTATTATGTTCTGTTAAAAGT